TATTCTCTTTCAACGACGAAAAATGTCGCCGTCGCTGACACCGCCGGGGTATATACATGTCTATTCGTGATACAGAGTGCATTCTATCCTGCTTGGCGCTAAAAATAACTGATGTGAAGAAATTCTATGAAAAAGGATGTGTTTATCACGCCCCTTTTTAGACTTCCATCCAATAATCATCTATTCGTTAAACACAACGTCGTACATTTACTGTGATCCTGTGAATTCTACAAAGAGCTTAGAATGATTGTAGAGAGTAAGATATTGAACGGTCAGATCTATTAAATAGGACAACTCGTGTTACTTTTCAATTATGTCGTCTCGATGTAATAAATTTGAACTTGGAGATAAACCGAAGAAAAGAGTCAAGCAGAACGTATATTATAACTGTTTCTTTTGAATCAGCACAGATATTTGAGCAAAGACAGATTGTGTTCGAAACATATTTCTGCTGTTACATAGCCTTGAGTCAATAATTATTCTTCTGATATGTTCGTTAATGGGTGATCAGAACCCGAAATGACATATTTCTATCTGCTTTTTGCTATTGACTTCGAGGTCTTCTGACACTCAAAAACATAGAAAAGGAAATGCCATTTATTTTTTTATTATCGTCAACATAAAGAACGAAAAAAGTGTATACCTCGGCTTTTCCCCTCATTACAACGAAACCACTATTTATTGCACATACGAACGTATTTTTCCTTTCAAAACACACATCACGATGAACCAAAACGGTACAATTGGTCCTATACCAATACACTATCAAAATGCGAATCCACTATTGTACACACTTGCCCAGGATCATACGAACATTCAACCATATTGGATAATGATTCTACAAATAGCCGGCTTACACTTATTTTCTCGATTGCGACATCTTTTCAAATATGGAGTATTTTCAACAACATTGGAAATTGGTCTTTTACGTTGGGCGGTATTATATCAGCTTAAAACAGTGAACAACGTTTTACAAAGAGTCGATGATTTTGTCGGAAATTTTGTACACAACTCTGAATCTGCTCGAGAGAGATTTATTAAAGAAATGGAACGAATTAAGAGCCACACTCACGAGACAAATGAAAAATTCTATAAAAAAATCGATTTTGATTTGATTGATTATATTATTCATGGTCTTCCTACACTTGGCCATGCCATTTGGTACTGCTATATTCAATCATCATGTATGTCAGCGGAACAGGCAACTCCGTGGAATTGTTACAATGCATTTGGATATAGATTATTCAATTATGTATTTGTATCCTATTGGAATTTTTCCTTCGTTTTTTACGTACAATTGATAGCATTCATATTCAAAGACGCCCATAATCTTAATTTACCAAAAAAAAAACAACCAAAATCAATCATAAAATACGTCTCCTTTGTTATTACTGTAGGACTGTATTTCATTACATGGGCGTTTGCTGGTGCTTTGTTATTGCCATATATGTTCACACATGTTATACCAATGGCATTTGCATATGGATTTATGGTTGTGATCTACTTTTGTCTTTGGGGCGCTGTCTTATTTTCCACACAGATCTTAGCAGAACTACCTAAATTTACTCGCATAGTATTCTACATTTTTCTCCCAAGATCTCTCACGGGAGCATTTTATTCAATTTCAGCTGCTTTGTATTCAACTGCACTCTTCATCAATACATTTCCCATTTTACTTACGGTGTTCTATAATTATTCGCAATATTTATATTATGGTGAAAATTTCATTTATACAATGTCAAATGAGTTCAATTCTCGAGATACTGAAATATATTTTGCCATATTTAGAAATTCAGTTAATGAAAAACTTCACAGTCTTTTGGATTTTGTTTAGAATTTCAAGTGTTTTTTTGTATCGACTAATTCAAATAAAACTACTAGTTTAGTTGAATTTATTTCATAAATATGTTTCTACGTACGAAAATCAGAAGACGTTAATTGGTTTAAGTCCACGTCCTGTAACATCAAGTAATGGCTCATGTTTGTCATAACACGGTAGACTAGAGTAATAGAAATAATGATTACCTGTCATTTTACTTTCCTTTTCGCACCATACTGTCTACCTCAATATTTTGATTGACATAAAATTCGATAATGTGTATCATTTCTGTGATACATATGAAAAGTACTTTCTCTCGAAGGTGACTCAGCAAGATAACCTTGATTTAATCAAAGTATTTTGTATGAAGGATTTTATGTCGACAGTTTGCTCTCGTATTTAATATTCAATGCACACAAAAGATGAATGAAAGAGATTAATCTGTTGAGCCTTAGTCAAACCCTCTTGGTGTTACGAAGTATTTTCTGATTGTAGAGTGCTACCGACAAGTATGATTCGTTGGCAACTATTCTCCGCTTAGCCATGCTCTTCCTTATTTTACTGATGTTATATTTCACTGTCAATGCGCCCACGATGCATTGATTTTTCTTCCTTTTCTATCAAAGACAAGCACCATAAATAATAATCTCCTTTTCTTTTTACGACTGCTAGCATGTGTGTGTTGTTTTTCTCTTCTAGATGGCAGACTTCGATGCAAACTCATTGGCAGTTTATCGTATACTAAATGGATTATGTGACGTATTGGATGACAAGTCTCAACCCAGGTCGATCATTCCGCCGACTGGATCCGTTGAAATCTGAGTCGGATCCGGTACAGCTGTTCTCGATTCCGACACAGTTTTCGCCGATTCCAGCAAGTTCCGGCAGGTTCCTTGCCGCCGGATTCCGGCCGGAATTGCACAGGAAATATCCGATCAGTTCCTGACCGTTTCCAGCTCGAAGTTTGCAGGAAACGGCCGGGAAATGATTGGAACCTACGTTTGAACTTCCGGCGACAAGGAAATGGTCGGAAAACGAGCCTAACCGGCCGGAGCCGACCGTGCCATAATAACCTNTATGTATAAGTAAAACTAAATCTATTCCTAAAACTATTTCTATTGGTATGCATTTATATTCGAATAGATATTAGTCTGTTGAAGGCCCATTTATAATATAAGTCGAATTAGGCAACTCATGAATTCTTCGTAAGATTTCATCAATTTCGTGGGAACTTTTATGAATCAATTTAAATATTTATAGCGACTACATACAGTTTTCTCTTTTACCTGTACTAAGACAGATGAAATGAAACTATCTATAGAAAGTATTTTAGCAATAGGTAAAGCAGTTACTATATAGAGAGCGAGAAGCACCTTTGTTCTATGTTAATACATAAGTCCAAAACGATAATGGATGCACCTTCAGTCCGAGTAGTATCAAGACTATCTGTCAATAATCAATGTTAAAACATAAGATATGTTCAACTGCAGTCTATGGACTGGAACCAATATTATTTTTAAACGATCTCCTAAACTGTCGATCGACTGGTACCCTAAGAATGATATTCAATGAATCAGCCATACATGTAGAAATCGTTTGTTGTTTCCATATTTCAAAGACACATTTTTACTACTCTCGTAAACTTATTTAAGACTCAAAGACACCAGCCTGTTATAAATGTTAATGAACCTGGGGTATTCTCCTAGTACGGAATACGAACACCCAATGTGCCCCCATACTATACGACATGAAGACCTATAAATACACCCATAGTATAGGACTTGACGATCTATGGGTACCCCTATAGTATAGGGCTTGAAGACCTATGGGTACCTCCATAGTATCGCATATGAGGACCTGAGGGTGCCCCCATAGTATAGGGTATGAAGACCCAAGATTTCTTTATGAAACCCCATTTCGGGACATGGTTGGTCTTATGAAACTGACTATACCAATATATCTGGCAAAAAAAATTTTTTTTGAAAATCCCTGTACTCCCCCTCAGGCCCCGTGAAGTCACGTTTTAGAGTTTTTACGATATCTCAGCCATTACTTGACCGATCCTTCTCATCTTCGAACTCGACCGACATATTCATGCGACGAAGCTGCGGAAGAAAAATTTTTGTGATTCGCTCAAACTTTTCGAGAGATATCGGATAAACGGACGGACGGCCGGCCGGACGGACACACTGACCGATTTTAGTAGTGTACTCACTTTTTGAGTACACAAAAAGAAGACAAACGTTGTTGACTGCTGAAAAGTTCGCTATGTATATTAAATTACTCAAGAATGGAAAAGCATACTGTCTGAATGAAATTTCGTCATCATACTGGTCGACATGATCTCATACAAGGGATCTCCTGATAAAGCTGTTGAGCTTTTTGTCGTAAAGAGCGTTATAATGTGGGTAGTCTTCTATTACAGGGGGGTCTTTTAGTATGGCAGGAGGTATGAATTCATTTGCTGCGCATGTTACCGTTACTTAGCGATTTGTTTACATCTTGATAGTTGTCTGATGGAAGAAAATGCAACTATTTATATACTTGTTGCTCATATAGATAATGAACATGAAATCATTGCTAGATTTAAAGAAAAGAAAGTAGCACAACAGAAATATTCATAAACTTTGGCTCATATCTTCAGGGTATTAAATGTATCATTATTCTTTTTAAATCTTACTGCAGCTTGGAATCAAAGAGTAAATGTCATATCATCATTAGTTCTGTCAGTGAACTGGATCTTTTGCATAGCAGCGAAAAACCAATCATTCGTCTCGTCATTTCTACTACAATCGCACCACGTTAATCTCCTAAACAAAAAGGTATTTCATTACCGTCACATCCAATTGAGATTGGCACAGGAAATCTAGACAGTTTAGAGTAAGTTATTAATTTTATCAAAAAGAAATTTATCCGTCTTTTGAGAAATAATTGTTTTGTATTTGACTTGTGGTATTATTATTGATATCGAATTATTGCAAGTAAAAACAAGTACAGTTACTACTAGTTTGAAAAAGATGCTTTAATGGTTTCCGTCGTGCCAAAGGAACAAAACTGTTGACATAACAAGATCGATACAAGTGATGAATTTCATCCGAGAAAACTATGAACTAAGAAGAAGTATTGATTAGAGATATGTTTGCGGATATGGGTAGAACAAAATCATTTGAATCGCTAACTTGAGTAACGAAAAATCAAGCAAGTAAAGAACATATGAGACAATTATTTCTACTTACTAATAGAGAAGTTTCTAATATTAATCAAATATCGATGTGATGTTTCAATCGATCTTGTGTTTTTCTTATAACCTAGTCGTGTTGGTGTTAAACATCCAGTTCGTGCAACAAATGATCATTCTATTTTTATGCCTTCGAGTTCGAATATTGATATTCATGTAACAAAGCAACTGATTCTTACCCTTTGCTCAAGTCTAATGAATTTTAAATATCAAATAGAAAACAAATCAAACAGTTTTCTACAATGTGTCTGACCATCAATTATTTGTATTCGTTAACGATTGATTGTTATTTTATACTCATCTTGATGGATCATCAATGGTCAACGTCAAACTGCAGTTCACAAATGATCAAATGTTTAGCGGGTAAAGTAATTCAAAATATTGAATTGAATGAAATATCAATTATGTCTGAATTAACATACTAAAAATTACAACAAAATCTGCATGATGTCTTAAGAAGGGATAAATATCTTTCAATATTAGAAACGAAAATTAGCAGTTTACGGTTACAGTCAGCAAGTTTTAAAAACAAATCTAGTATAAATGTTAACTCTATTTTCCCAATATTTTAAATAAAAATTTTCAATAAATACAGTTGAAAGAGTATAGGACAATAGATAATTAGATATGCATTGAGAATATATCGTTACTTTTATTATAAGTTGTTAGTATACTGGAGTAAATCTAAAAATATCAACGACATGTCAGTTTTTGGAGGATTCTGTCAATGAAGATCTGCTTTGATGCGCTCAAATAGATTTACTTAGAAGAAATGCAATAACAAAGACATATCTACATATATATTTGTAGAGAACGCCACAGGCTATCCGAATCTATCATTGTTTTCATGATAGTGTTCATTTATGGTGCCTTTAGATCAAAAATATATATAGAACGAGCTAGAGGTGAGTGGTTGACCGAAGAGAGATCGATGAGCGACTAAATGTTGATATGTTGGTTTTATTAGATGTTCAGTAAATGTGAATTGAGATCTTTTGAAAAAGAGCTACTTAGATTGCCACATAAACAAAAACAATCTCTTCTGCTCAGTTTAACCTCTGGTAAAATATATTCGCCAAGAAGCTTATTAAGGTGAATGTGGCATTTCAGGCTATCAGTAGGATTAGAACAATCAGAAACGTGTCTGTCTCATCTCGAAACTTTTAGGAAATTGCCTATAAGGGTAATAGTATGGTAATCAGAATTTGAATGTATAAGTATACAATCTTCTGCAATAGAAACTTTGTGGAAATGCTTTTTTAAATAAAAACTGCCTCGAAGTTTCTTTCGGAAAAGGGTCACCCTCATCTGTAGGATGACTGTTACTTGTTGTTTGTCTGCTTTTATCATCTTTAATAAATACATATAACCATCTTCATACTGTATTTCTTTACGTTTATCAGTTTCTCACGTTATAATTAAAGATGTGAATGTGGGTGACGCTGCAAATGTCTCTTTTCTATCTATATCCACACCCTAAACACTATTAACATAAAGAAATAAAGCCTACTTGGTAACCGAGGATTAATTCATGTAAGAAAAATCAAGTATCAAATAAATAAAAGTAATTTGATTCTATTCTTATCTTCTTTAAGTCATATAAGTACAATATCCATTCAGAATAGAAAGTCTAAGTTGGAAATTACCGTTATAAAATCATCTGATATTCTTCAATATGATGATTCACAGTATATATTGCATCATTCTTAACTAATAGAAGTATGCGATCAAAAGACAGCAAACGATCGAACTGCTTATACGAAGGCAAAGATAATCTAATGAAATTGTGAATATTTCGATTAGTAAAAGATTCAATGAAAATTGGTTGTAAAAAAGCAAAGTCCTAACATTTTTACTGACGTGATAGAAATGATTGGCAGAAAGTGAGATTTTATCTTAATTGAAAAGAATAAAATGACGTAAATTGTGTTACTCATCATTTGCACTTATCACGAGATACGCAATGATCTACTTTCCAACATATCAATACTTACATAAGAAATCATGTGATTCAATAGATTCACTTATGTATATAAAAGGTGATTGGAGTTACTGAATTAGTTTAATCCAACGCAAAAATATGTCTTCTATTACTACTCATCTTTTCATTTTCTTAGCTCTTACTCTAACAATATGCGAGGTAAAACATTTGTCGGTCATATGAAGTGAACCCAAGTTGATGTGAGCCAAAGTGAAGTCCATTAGTCCATACTATACCTATTGTTTATGTATCGGTCTTTATCATTATAATAAAACATAGTTATCTATTCCTAGTAAAGGTGAGAGTCAAGGATTAAATAATGCCAGAATATTCTGGAACTTTCTAGAACGTTCTCGAACTTTCCAAAACCATAAACGATCGACCCCACCGTTCCAGAACGATCTGGAATTTCCCGGAACCTTCCAGAACTTCCCGCTTGATACCGTCTTTTCCCTGCAAGGAGCCAATGATTAGAGTCAGATTAGCATTTGCAAGTAAATTGTTAAAGTCATAGTATTGGCAGTAAAGTGTAGACTTCAATCTGATTGGTTCATTTTTTCTATATGAAGTGAACCACATTTCTTGGGGTAACGTGTTGGGTTCACTCCATACGACCACATTTGTCCTATATTTGAACAAATAAATATACGAAATATTCTTCTTTTTATATATTTCAGACTGGTCCAGTTATATGTCTCCAACGTGTTCCGATTTTTACATGTCCATCGAAAAGTTGCATTACACCTGACTGGGCTATAACCAGCAAGCGTTATCCATGTGATTGCTATGAAACAGAGAGAATTGCCGGTAAACTAAGAAGATGGTACCATATCGAATTATCCAAGAATAAGTATGGTTATGTGCTCGATAACAGCTGTTCGGCCAACGTTAAACATTGTTAATGTTGGTATCTACAATCAATTGCTTTCAATTTCTTTTCTTGTTTTGCTAATTAAAATATTTCATATGTGATTTTTATTTTCCATGAAATAAAAGAATGATTAGCACAAATAAGAACGTGACATTTTTAGAAACGAGAATCAGATCACTGTATTATATTTAACACACGTACAAAAGTGAACACAATTAACGTGATAAAAAACAATAGTAAATATTTACTGTAAAAAAAATTGTGTTAGAATGATCCCTAAACGTTATGCTGTTATTTCAGTATTTAAAACTCAAAACTTGAGTAATGTGCAACTTATTACATATTATAGTTTTTCTATTGATGTTTAATGTCCTACAATCGATTTTCTACGATACAGATCAATTTAAATTTGATTGTTTACATTATTATTCAACAGGGGATTCTCTTTCTCCGATAGTTAAATATTGTGTACGACCAAATAATGAAAGCAATTACACGATGATTGATCCTCTTAAAATATCTGATCAATATTTAACTTTTAATGACTTATATCATTTAAATATAAGTTCAGATGAAATTCTTTTACGAACATTATCAATCAATTTAGCTGAAACATATCAATTTTATCTTGATTCACCAATTCAATCTAATTTATCGAATGAAATATTTTTCAATTGTACAAAACCATGGTTTGGATCTTATTGTCAATATTCATTCGAATTTAATCAAAATGAATTAATAACAAATACAATTGAACAAACATGTTATATTCTTTTAGAATGTAATCGTAATAATCCATCGATATGTCTTGATTGGCGAGAAATATGCAATGGTCGAATCGAATGTTTAAATAATGGTATTGATGAAATTGAATGTTTTAATTTAGAAATAAATGAATGTGAAGAAAATGAATATCGATGTCATATTGGATTATGTATTCCAAAAATCTTTCTTGATATGGAATTTGTTGGTGTACAATGTCTTGATAGATCGGATGAGATTATTCGAGAGAATAGTTTTAGTTCTAATTATCTTTCGTATGAAGAATATGTATGTCAACCTGGTGAAGGACAATTTTCATGTGGTGATGGAAATTGTGTAGAAGATTTTCATGAATGTGAGAATAATCGACATTTAAGATTATTTCAATCGATTAGTGAACAAAAGAATTTATCCTATTCATGTTGGATAGTTATGGTTTGTCTTAGTAAAATTCTTGATCAAATTGAAAATAGATCATGTGATCATTTTATGGAATTATTGAAGATTATTGAAGATTTTCAAAAGTGTCATTTTCCTTTGAAATTTCCTGAAATTCCTGTTCTTTTTGGTCATATACAATTTTTATATTCTCGAAAAACAATTCATAATTTTAATAGAACATTCATTCTTAAACCTGATTATGTTTGTTATGATGCACAATTATGTGATTTTCTCGAACCATCATTTCACTGGGAAAATTTAACTTGTCGATACGGAAATGAAACCGGACTTGAATCGAATATCGAATTAACTACTTGGAAATCTCTAATCGATTCAATCAAACCATATTTTATTGGTTGTAAAACTCAACATCATCAAAGTATCAATAGTTCTCATTATTCATCATTATATCATTGTCAAAATTCGTCGAAATATATTTCAAAATCTCGACTTATTGATGGTATTTATGATTGTTTTTTGAAAGATGATGAACAAGTATTTCAATTAAGTTGTTCATTAAACCAAACATTTCGATTTCAATGTTCAAATGAAACACAATGTTATTCACCTCTAATTTCACGAAATATTTGTTCTTCAATACCAATCAATTCTAATGAAATTTTATTTTATGAAATATGTAATCGTATTATTGATTTACCTTTAATATTAATCAATGGACAATATCATTCAGATGAAACAGATTGTCAATATTGGCAATGTAATAATATTTACACACGATGTGATGGATTTGAAAATTGTCTTGATGGAAAAGATGAAATTAATTGTACAGAACCGATTATATTAAATTATTTTCTTTTTTGTATTTTACCAGAAAATTCTTCATTAATGTGTTTACCAGTTAATCATGTTAATGATGGAATGATCGATTGTTGTCGAGTATTATCCAATGACTATCGATATGTTCAAATGAATAATATTACTTTGGAAACATATAAATATCGTTATTGGAATAATACAGAATGTATAGAAGACGAAGATTGTTTCGTGTATGAGAAGTTTTTGGAATTATGTGTTGATCATTCACAATTATCTAATGACGATGATTTAAATAATCTTTCCAATATACAAAATGCATTATGTCGAACTATTACTACACGTGATATATCTTTTTCATTAGAAACTGCATTAGTCTATCCACCTTTACCAGATATTCACATTAATTCTGACGAAAATCAAGTTGATACTGAGATGAGAGAATTATTCTTTCAGAATTCTATCCAATCTAATCCTTGTAATTATGGTTTACATGTATATCATCGATTTAGTATTGATAATTTCAATAGTTTATGTTTCTGCCCACCAAATTATTATGGTGATCGATGTCAATATCAAAATCAACGTGTTAGTATAACTCTCGTATTAGCAACTGTTAATCAATCAACTATTTATGCGATTATAGTTACTTTAATGGAAGATGATAATGATCGACAAGAAATTCATTCATATCATCAATTTATTTATCAATCAAAAAAATATTGTGGTAAACCTATAGATATTTATCTATTATTCGCAAAACGAGATAAAGATATTTCAAAAAAGTATAATATACGTATTGATGTATTTGATAAGAATTCATTGATATATATCATAAGTTGGTATTTAAAAATTCCATTTATTTTTCTACCAGTTAATCGAGTAACAGCATTTTTAACTCTTCCAATTTCTCGAACAATTAATTCTATTCATTGTACTCTTCAATGTTTAAATGGAATTTGTATAAAATATCAGAATGAAGAACGTTTCTTTTGCAAATGTTACTCAGGTTGGTCTGGTGCACGATGTCATATTCCAATCGATTGTAGTATGTGTGCATCGAATTCAATCTGTATTAGTTCAATTCAAAATCAACCAATCTGTATTTGTCCTCAGAATAGATTTGGTTCCTTTTGTCGACTTAAACTAACATGTCCAAAAGAACATTGTCAAAATAATGGTCAATGTATTGTCATTGATGAGAGAAGAATAAATGATAGTTATGTATGTCTTTGTTCTGAACAATTTTCTGGACCATTATGTGAATATCAGAATTATAGAATAGAAATTTCTTTGAAGAATATGAAAATTCCATCATATTTACTTATTCATATTTATAATGGAATTAGTTTTGAACAATTAAAACCAACTTATACCATATTGAAAAAGATTTCTATGTTTCAAACTGATATTCTTTTATATACTGAACATATATTTCAAATGATTCTTGTTAAAACTTCTAAATATTATTATTTAGCTGCACTTCAAACAGTTGAATTATCTAATTTAACAACATCGATTAGTGACGCACAACGATGTCCTTCGATTGATGAACTTTTCAATAAAAAACTCTTGTCTATGCCACGAATTTACCAATTGAAAAGTTATCATCTTCTATGTCAACATAATTTGAATTTACAATGTTTTATTGATGAATTTTATATGTGTTTATGTACTCGAGAACATCATAGTAATTGTTTTCAATTAGATCATCAAATGAATTTTCTTTGTAAAGATAATGTTTATTGTGAAAATGATGGAACATGTTTACAAGATCGACCAATATGTTTTCATGGAATTTTATGTTTATGTCCCGATTGTTTTTTTGGTGACCGATGTCAATTTTATGCCAAAGGTATTGGATTAACATTAGATGATTTATTACGTTATGAAATTCGACCTAATCGAACATTAAATGATCAATCATTAGCAGTGAAATTAAATGCAACTTTTCTTATGATTCTATTTCTAATTGGTTTATTGAATAGTTTTCTTAGTTATTTAGTTTTTGAAAATTATAATTCACGTAAAGTAGGATCAGGAATTTATCTTCGATTATCATCGATTATTTCTAGTGTTATTGTTTGTATATTAATTATGAAATTTTGGTTTGTAATATATACATATATGAATCCATCAATGAATCGACAAATTGTTCGAATTGGTTGTATTTTACTTGAACCTATACTTCGTCTTTTTGTACATATGAGTAATTGGCTTAATACTTGTGTAGCTATAGAAAGAGCAATTGCAGTTTATCAAGGAATTTATTTTAATAAGAAAAGAAGTCGATGTATTGCACGATGGATTATTTATTTCTTACCATTTCTTATTTTAAGTTCAATGAGTTATGAATTTATTCATCGTGATTTATTTGATGATAATGAAGAACGACGTGTTTGGTGTGTAATTCGGTATTCTCAATCAATAGAATGGTACACGAGAATTGTTCAATATTTTCATTTTGTTGTTCCATTTTTAGCGAATTTCTTTTCTGCTCTTTTTATCATTGTTAATATTACTCGTCAACGAATGATTATTCGAACGCATTTTAGTTATAAACAACAATTACTCAATCAAATCAATGAACATAAACAACTTGTTGTTAGTCCAATTGTATTAATTATTCTACTATTTCCTCGTTTTCTCGTTTCATTATTATCAAAATGTGTTAAATCAACACAAAATCCTTGGTTATATCTTTGTGGTTATTTCATTGCATTCATTCCATCATCGTTCATCTTTATAATATATGTTTTACCATCGACTTTCTATAGAAAACAATTTAAACAATCAATTATCACTTGGAGACAACGATTTAGAGAAACAGTAAAATAAAATCTTATTTGTTTGTAAAGCAAAAATTGAAACTTCATATATATTGAGATGTGACTATCGCGATTAGAAGAAGAGCACTTATCCCAAGAGAAAACAAGCGGTTCTTGATAGTTCGTAAGAACTTCAACGAAGATTTATAATCGTATAAAGTTGATGCAAAAATGTATAATAAAAGTTTCTTGTCGACATCAAGAATTACGAAAGTTGCTGAAGATTTTCTATTTATTAATATGGATTTAAATAAAATTCCTGTAATATCTAAGTATCATATTAGTACACCAAGAATTGCATTAGACATTTCAAAATGCTCTGTATTTGAAAGGGAACAAGAGATATACACTATCAAGAATCAAAAAACTACCTTGAGGGTGAAAATGTGATTTTGTTCACTCATCCTTATTATTGTTATTAACAAAATACGAATAGAATATAGTCAGCATGATGAAGCTATTTTTTCGCTTACATATATAGGTAACAGTTATTTGTATTCAGTAACAACGATTGATATACAACAACCCAGGTCCATCGATCCGACCCGAAGATCCGGCAGTATTCAATCGGATCCGGCATCGGATTGCATCGGAATTCACAGGATTCCCATACAAAACCGATCGGAACCCCACCGGTTTTCACCGGGAACCTAACCAACGGATTCCGACTCGGATCACGCCGGAAAGTATCCGATCGGAAACAGTCGAATGTAGCCACCAGATACCGCGATACCCCATCGGATCCACCTGCAACAAAGTGTCGGAAAGAATATCCATCAGACAGAATCCGACCAAGTTTTCGCCGGAAAGGATAATCTTTTCATGATTTATATTCTACCTATCGATACTACAGCTTTTTATTACAGACCCTGCCAAATTCATGCATATTCATCTTGATTCCATGCCATTTCATCAGCATTTTATAATGCCTTCATCAAAATACTAATAACCTCATCATTCTCCCGCTAGATTTCTCAATAATTACATGCAGCGGACATCCAAATACATTCCTGTTTATCCCACTATAAATCAATTCCATATGACCTATAGTGAGCCACACATGATCGTCAAAGCGTCCGAACATATTATTTCTAACTTCAGAAAAAGTACCGCAGATTTCATCACAATAACAACGCATTTCACCAAACTATACCAATTTCCCAACAAATTTTACGTTCATTACCACACGTAAGATCCACATTACAATGAATACGACCTAGATTACAGTGAGTTTCACCTGAATTTCACCTGGATTTCACCCGGATTTCACCAGATTTCGCTTGGATTTCACCCGGATTTCACTTGGATTTCATCAGATTTCACATGAAATTCACCAGGATTACCCCAGCTTTCACTTGGATTTCACCCGGATTTCACTTGGATTTCACCTGGATTTCACCTGGATTACCCCAGATTTCACTTGGATTTCACCAGATTTCGCTTGGATTTCACCCGGATTTCGCTTGGATTTCACCCGGATTTCACTTGGATTTCATCAGATTTCACATGAAATTCACCAGGATTACCCCAGATTTCACTTGGATTTCACCCGGATTTCACCTGGATTTCATCAGATTTCACTTGGATTTCAACTGGATTTCACCAGATTTCACCTGGATTTCATCAGATTTCACCTGGATTTCATCAGATTTCACCTGGATTTCATCAGATTTCACTTGGATTTCAACTGGATTTCACCAGATTTCACCTGGATTTCATCAGATTTCACCTGGATTTCACCAGATTTCACCTGGATTTCACCAGATTTCGCTTGGATTTCACCCGGATTTCACTTGGATTTCACCAGATTTCGCTTGGATTTCACCCGGATTTCACTTGGATTTCACCTGGATTTCACCAGATTTCACCTGGATTACCCCAGATTTCACTTGGATTTCACCAGATTTCGCTTGGATTTCACCCGGATTTCACTTGGATTTCATCAGATTTCACATGAAATTCGCCAGGATTACCCCAGATTTCGCTTGGATTTCACCAGATTTCACTTGGATTTCACCAGATTTCACCAGGATTACCCCAGATTTCACATGGATTTCACCCGGATTTCACCCGGATTTCACCTGGATTTCACCAGATTTCACCTGGATTTCACCTGAATGAGGTGGTGGGTGAGGGTGAGGATGTGCTAAACAAAACGGTGAATGGAATCTGAACAGAATCTGGATTTTCGAGCACACCCTGTATGTTGACTTTTGGAAGATCATCGATGTTTATGGTGGAATGTGTGAAGGGGTGTATTAGCACTAGTGCTTATTGGCTTTTGATGGACTTGAAGTTCTTATTGGAGTGTAAGTTTTGCTGAAGTGAAATGATCGAGTCCGTGTGTCGGTGAAGAGTGTGGATTGTTTGGCCTGTGCGGGTTTGAGATTATATAAATGTCGATCGTGTTTATTATGGTCGGCAAAGGATGACTGCGCCAGATGCTGCCTGTATTGACAGAGTCGATATAAAGGGTGAGCTATCGAAATCTGTTGAGTCGTTCCAATCGAAGTGTAGAATAAGTGAGAACTGTTCATTCATGAGTAAAGCACTAGATTGGTCTATTTGTATGGAACGAGAAAGAATGAATATCGTGAGATGTAGACATCTGCTGTATATTAGTGTGCATGTAAACGAACTTCATGATAATGGATGTTCGAAAGTTATGATAGAAATATTTGTCAGTTGATCTCCGCAAATTTTAGCCGATGACGTTTGTAGCAACGAAACAGAAATCCTCCCTGATTTCATCGTGTTAGTGAGATGTGTCGTGATTGGTTGATAGAAATCAATATATACTACGCTGCTTGGAGGATATGCTCGAAAATTTTCTTTTAGTGCTTTGGTGTTTTGTTCGATAGTACTTAACTTAATTCGTTTCGCTAATGGCTCGAAAAAAAACTCCAGCACAAAAAGTGAACGATCAGAAGGAAAATGACTGCCCATCTGATGATCATCAGGGTAACAAAAAAATCGTTGAAATAAGTACGATTAGCTTTGCTTTCGCTATGATTTGTGATTATACATTTGATGTAGGTTGTCCGGCTACTATCGGTGAAAAACGAAAGCTGGAATCAATTAATTGTAATATAGGCAATAATGAAGAAAACGAAATAATATTATTGAAGAAACGGTGTGTTGAATTGGAAGATCGAATTGTCCTATTGGAGAAATCATGTTTATGTAAGTTTTCCGATTGGAATGTTTCTCTCACTTGATTTTTCTTCTGTTAGCAATTCCATCGGACGTTAACATTCAACAGTTCTTCGAAGACGTTTTACCGAGTTTCAGTGACAAGAATCATGACGATATCACAATGACTGCTAGTGATCTTGTTATGGGTGTCGACAGTGATGCCGTCGGTGAAACTGATACTGGCTCTTCAGCATCGAATCCTGGAAATGATAGCAATACGGTTTCATATGATTGTGATCAACGGGAAGTTTGTCACTTACCGTTATTGCCTATCGACGACAAGATGCTTTCTTCGTTGAAGAAAGAAAACACGACGTGTACGGCGCGCTCGATTATTAAATTTCTTTTCCCCAATCCACCAGATAACTTTAAGCTGTCGAATGTCGATAAAGACGTTGTCGAGAATATCGTTCGTAAGTGAACAGACTTCATCACTTTTATAGCTTTCGTCTTCTAAATAGAAGTGGTAAAGATCATGCATCCGGAAGAAACGACAACAACAGCTACCAAGATTAGACACTCAATGTCAAATTACTTCGGATCTCTAACTTATAAAAAGAAAAAGAAGTTATCGAAGTCAGTGAAAAAATCAGATTGAACGATTGAATATTGTTAAAGCGAAGATTCTCTCCTTTGCGTCTTCAGACATGATATTTCCTTTTTGGTTTCACTTTACATTTCGAGTACAGAACTTTTTCTTTCAGTTTTTAGCTAAAGAAGAATGATTCCTATGTTCATCATTCTTCTGCTGATCTTTTTCGATTATTACTTTACTGCTTCATTTCTTTGTTTTCATTCATTGGTGTTTTGGTCTAAACCCGTTTTCTATGTCATTTTTTTTATTGTGAAACAGATAATGCAGATTTTTTTAGGTCATTTTTTACTGGAACACTTCATTTCATGAGAAAAAGAAATATAAATTTCGAAACCAGAACTTCCGACATCGATTCAAAACTTTCACAATGATAGGCGAGTGGTTTGACCAACACTCTGCCTACTGCGTAACAAGAAACAAATGCGTGATACAGAACGTCGTTGTTATAAAAACTGACACTTATTCTCTTTCGACTGAGTGTCATTAATGAAAACAGATTGCTCATTATTGCTTGGCATCGATTTTCTATTATCTCTGAGCAAATTATCTGATGTGTATGATTTATAGAATGAGCAGGTCATTATTGAGTCGTTTCAATCTCTCTTGTATCAAAACAAGCTCGCAGGCTAATAGTTGAAAACGTTTCCATTAATTGAAAACAACAAGAAGATCCCAAACAAAATATTACAGATCTTTTCAAAACATCTCTTGATATTTACAAGAGAAAGCGATTGATATAAGCGATCACTTTAGATAGATAGTCAAAGAAGCTTGTTTATGTAAAATACAAAAGAAATTGAAAAACAAATGATGTTAAATAGGCGTGAGCGATGCTGTCATCAAAAACAAGCAAACCTTCTTCGTCTGCTAAAGCGGGAACTTTGAAGAAGATTGTCACTCGCTCAGTATCGCTCGAAAAGATAAAATAAAGTTAGTCATTACGAATGTCTTGTTCTCGATCGCTGATGGCTTGTTGTTTGGCTGCTTTTGATTGTCGTTTTCTTTCGTCGATCAGAAAATCACACATGCGCGGTCGGATTAATTTGGTATAACAATTATCATAGTGTAAAAAAGAAAGTTTGTATTTAATTCGCACCGCTTCTGAAGAAAAACAACATACTAATTCTAATTCAAAATTAATGCTCAAATTCATACGAGATTGAGCCTAATTCAATTGTTTCTCTTCGATAAAATCTCAAAAGTCCTCTTATTTTACTTTATCTGAATAATTTATCTTTAAGATTTAAAATAAACTTGTTTTTGTATGACTCCACGAATATTAATTATTGAATTACAAAATGCTTCCTTTTACAATGAAAAATCGATTTAACATTCATCAATCATGTTGAACACAACATTTTCTTTCAAAAAGTAATGGAAATAATTTCTCCCTGCGATTGGACTCTGAGAGTTGTGCTGTTTCTCCGTTACGCTTGTCGACAAATGAGAGGGTCAGGGTGAGCGTATCTGTAGACGCCTAGTTATCACTCTAGGTAAACACTTGCCGTTGAGTTTTTATATGAATAAACGAGGCTATAATGTATGATCGAATCTGTTTGTACTCCATTATTTGATTACAAGAGAATTCTCTAGCAGACAAGCAAAAGCAAAATAGATATTATTTCGTTCGGTCCAATCAAGTTTGCAAAGACAATGATAGTCAGAATTGATTTGTGACAATCTAACTCAATTTATCAACTTTCTGCATGAGCTTTTGCGTCTATTGATTCGACTCAAAAGTAGTCTAAAAATCCGCCCAAAGCTACATACCATGGAATATATTGAAACGTACAGGATCTAGAGCCGGCCGCGCTAAATGATTTCTTGCTGGTGGTAGAATGCAACTACCTAATTCTTGTGATGTGTATAACGTTTTTAATATCTTTCTACCATAATCGTAAATATCTCTACCCCGAATTTCAAGAAGATTTTGTCCTTCATACATCTAAACAGTATCCAATAGTAGATTGGTTACAAAATTGTATTTTGAAATACATACCAACTTTGAAGGGAAGCTTTCGTCTTTCTCACGATAGGAATCTAAATGCTGATGAACCTGTAGAGTACGAAAGAAAGAATACAGGACTTAGTAATCGCATCAATGAACGCAACTCACGGCATTTGGGATCAACTGATTTAGTTTCTTCGAAAACATTGCGAACTTTTTTTCCAGGTTTTGTAAAATGATACGATTCATATCATCAATTGTCTGATAAACTACTCGAGCTAAAAGTAAATGATGATCGTAACATGATTATTTAAATAAGTTCAACTAATGTCAACTAAGCCATCACTGTTCAATCATATATGAACATTCTGATTCACAAATTCGTCGAAAGAAGAATACAAACCTTCCAAAGTTTGATTTTCTTTATCGCATGCGTTTGGTGAAACATTGCCTGAAGCACAATTTATTTTTAATAGAAAATCATACGATTGAATTGAAGACACATACTGTGCATCAAGTTTTCAAGAGAACGACGACGCTCTAAATAAGACAAGCTTTATTCGTACAGTTCATTAAACACCGAGGTGTCTATACTCACTCTTTGTAAAAACACCACTTTCGATTGAAAGACTATCGATATCAAGATTTTCTAAAACAGAATCAAAAAGTGCGCCTTAGCGATTTGGCTCGGTTTTCAATTTATGTTAAAAAAGTGTTGTTAGGTATCATATAACTACGAGTAAAATAGAACTCATTCTACGATGTGAACTTGTCATTGAGAGAAAAAGGTTTGTTTCAAATATTTACCGTCCATTTGTTGTACAACAGATGCGGACAACTTCCTTTTTCTCACTGTTGATAATGATTGCTCTGAGGAAAAGAAATAAAAAACAAGTATTATCACTAGTTGACGAAAAAATTAGAAGCAATGTACTTGGCATATCGTTCCGAGCATCACTGTCATTCAAGTCATCATCGCTTTGACGATCATCAATCTCATCTAAATTACGAACCCATATATTTGATTACGATAGAAAATGTCAAGATTTCTTCGATATGATCATGTAGAATCATCTAATGAGATTACCTCTGCCATCATTGATAGTTGTCTTCTCCATTGACTGTATAAACCTACAATTCACACAGAATCACTCATACACTTTCGTCATTTCGAAGAACAACGAAAATCAGCGTATGTATCAAACAAAATCGCAAGAATTCAGTCTAGAAGCAATAAAAATAATGTCTTCTTCAATATCAATCGAATAATTTTCACAATTCAATGATATTCAATCTTCCTTTCCTCGTAGTGCATTTCTCCATTTAGCAAAATGGTTTACACCATACCTTTGGCTTCGATCACTGCGTATCGACGTTTCGCACGGGCTCCAAGAATCCCTCTATCATCAACGATCGAATTGATACTTGAACATTTCACGATGAGCAATTCATTGTTATCTTCGAAACGTAGTAAACAATTCTCCTGGCTATATAAATGCGGTTGAGAAGGTGAGAATTTGATCGGTGCATTTATTATTCGTTGAGATCGTTGCATGTTTTATAGAAAAGATGAAAAATCTGAAAAGTAAATGGCTTCAGTAAAGAGATAAAGCTCAAAAGTAAGAAATAATTCTTTCAATCGTGCTCATGGTATGCAGAAATCTCTGTTACAACTAAGTATCGTTGAAATTCAAAAGTAATACAGTGCTTCAAGATGCAATCTACATTGATAACATCTAGTAAATCAGATGGTTCTTTGAGCAACAGATAGAATAATTCATCTAATGGCTTTTCTAACAAATCGAAGTATTGAGACGAACGAAATAAACGACTAAATTTTTTGCATTTCGAACATAACGTTGGACAACAGCATAATTTACGTCGAGGAAAGAAAAAAACAATTCGATTTTTCCAAAATATTTGGCACCTGCGTTCGATGATTCATGATACGATCTGAAATAGCTGTTTGATTTCCCCGTTTATTGTATATTAATGAATGGAACATATTGTTACGTACGAGACATCTGCGGTAAATTGAGATACAATTCGAAAGTTGTGAGCAGGTACATATGATATCATGCTATTGTTTGATAATCGAATAATCATTCAGATCAATATTAGCATGAAGATCTATTGGTCTTGAACTCATATCACGCTTGGTATTAGAGCTACGTGCGTGTAAATGGAAATCGATATTATAGTAGTGGACTATGAGACCTCAATAATAATTCGAGCCGTGTATATTTTTACTAAAATGACCTATGAGCTCTTCTTGATGAAAACACCCAATGTTTGCTAAAGAACCATAATTAAAATACTGTATACCGAAATGACGATGTACATGCAGCACATAATTTTGAATATCGGCATAAAACAACTTGTGATCTTTGTAATATTCATCGAACAAATGAATAAAGTGAAATGAGCAGGTTTTCGAACATTAATGAACTTAAACGATAATGGTAAAAATCCGTAAAACACAATGTTTCGTACTTCTACCGCTTTGATAAAGGAAAATTCTTTGAAAGACTTCATTCTACGATGAAAGAAATGCGGAAAATTTTGATTTTTTAATCTATTGTCAAATCGTTCACGATCTAAAGGTCGAAGGTTTCTATAAATTTAACCTGAAACAGTTTTTTTATGTCTTAATAAACTGACGTGTTGATAATAAATCAATATTACTTGTGGTAATGGTGCGTCAAGTATGCC